CTGATCAAAACACCACCTATGCCTACTGATCAAATTGTCATCTATGCCTACTGATCAGATTTGCATCTATGCCTGCTGATCAAAACATCACCTATGCCTACCGATCAAATTGTCATCTATGCCTACTGATCAGATTTGCATCTATGCCTGCTGATCAAAACATCACCTATGCCTACCAATCAAATTGTCATCTATGCCTACCGATCAAATTGTCATCTATGCCTACTGATCAGATTTGCATCTATGCCTGCTGATCAAAACATCACCTATGCCTACCGATCAAATTGTCATCTATGCCTACTGATCGAATTTGCATCTATGCCTACTGATCGAATTTGCATCTATGCCTGCTGATCAAAACACCACCTATGCCTACCGATCAGATTTGCATCTATGCCTGCTGATCAAAACAGCATCTATGCCTACTGATCAAACCACCATCTATGCCTGCTGATCACGTTGGCATTTATGTCAACTGATCAAATTGACATCTATGCCTACTGATAAAATCACCATCTATGCCCCCTGATCAAATTTGCATCTATGCATACATGCAGTGACCAAATCGACATCTACATGTAAATTGACATCTATGCATGTTGACTGAATTAACATATTTGCATTAATGAGCAAAACAATAATAACATCTCCATAATGATTAGCTGGATTTCACCCAAATGACCAGCTAACTAGATAATTTGTGAAATAGGATGGAACCTTGCCATGAATATAAAAACACACATTGTAATCATACAATTGAATACATGCAAACATTCATGACTTCCTAAAATCTAGTGCATTCCATGCTACAGATTAACACAGTAAATGTTTTAATCATCATAAATAAATCAGAACTATTAGAAATTATTAATCTAAGACAACAAGTGGGGTAAGCTACTAAAGGTCAAATAAAAATAAGTTAGGAGTGGTTAATGCTAGTTAGGAATAGAATTGTTCAAATGTTAATAGTTATTGGTGCCTATACTAGCTCTCACCAGAGATGACCTGGAAGTTGGGTTCATCATAAATAACTTTGTCTTTTAAGACTGTTGATCCTTCTATATCGTGAGTCTTAATGGAAGCTTTAACATGGTGATCTGGGTCTATGGTTAAAGCGGAATGGATTGCCAGGGGAAATTAAATAATAAAAATAATTAATATAAATTTATTAGCGCGTTGTAGTCAGTAACAGCAATACATTCAGACAAAACAAATACAGATAACAATAACAGTTAGATTATTAGTGATATCTGGAAAGATGTAGGTAACCATAGTGATGCATGGAAATTAAAAATACAAGGTGCATTACGATATAGACTTCTTATAAATATGATATTAAATATTGCTGCCATAAATTTAGTTATAAGATCCACACTCGGATTATAAAATTAGTGATTTATTTCAAAATCGAGTGACTATACCCAAATAAATGTTTTTACAGTATATGCAATTATTATAAAACAAGGTATAATTATAGCAATCGCTTTTAATTTTTGAAAAATAGTAGCACAAAAGTAAGAAATTGACTTACAATATTTAACAGAATTTGAAAAAAAAAATTGTTGCTTCTCATCATCATGTACCATACCATATATAACATATGAACATTTTTTGTTTCAGGGGATGTTTTTGTCAATCGACATTTAATGCATGCATTTTGAAAGCATTATTGTAGAAAATATACATGTATTTCATTGTGGTATTATTATTAAAACCAAATCCTGTATAATTTTTTTTATTTTTCATGATGAGAAACAAAACCATTTTTTGACATGGCTAAAATGTTGAAGGAAATAATTTTTTGAAACTCAATGGTAGTTTTGAACAAACTCATCTAAGAGAATTCTGATCATTATCTTTCGTGAAAAAAGGGCAGAAATATTTTGCAGAGACAAAAACTAAAATCGATGGTAAGTAGAAATAAATATATAGTTTTCATTCATGATGTTATCCTTTTTAATACAAATGGAGAAACAAACAAAGATGGCTGAAATATTTGTTAAAAATATTTTTAAGTAGTCTCTATCCTGTATTTTAAGATGAATATGACACAGTGACACCATTCACGAGACATACAAGACTATGCCAGGTGTCGACAAATAACGGGCTAAAAAGAAATAGCAATATTATTGTGAAAAAATAAAATAAGTAAAAGATGAAATCCCATTCGCATGGAAAGCTGAGAACACCAAAAGGTTGAGTTATTATGGTGAAAAAAAAAGCATTATGAAATGTAGTTCAGCCATCTTGGCTGATGCATTGTGGTTAAGAAACTGAGGCTGTACATGTAATGTTTTAACAAGTTGAAGACCATGACAGAAGCCACAATATAGTATCCCACAATGCACTGCAAATTCAAGATGGTGAACATTATATTTTCATCACAGGGGAAAATGATTTCATCGACTGATGCTCCATAATGCATTGCATACTACAATTTTTTTTTTTTTATTCTTTTTGTACCAAATATTTTTCATACAATACCAATTTAGAATGAAACCACAATTATTTATTGCAAAATTTTAAATATAGAAATTATTGACATGTGTGTCTGACATCGATAACACATAATTGTTCATCAAACAGCAATGCATTATGCGAAATTGGAAAAGTAAACATAAATTTGATAGAATGATATTTGAAACCTAAAAAATCCCAGACACTAATCATACAGTCCGACATGTACATGCAAATACTCATGCTTTGATATATGGAACACGATATTGCTTGCAGTTCAAAGTTTAAACAACTGAAAATTCCTAGAATGGGAGGCAGCATATTCAAATAAAGTCAATATATTAAATTACTACTTCAATTTCTTACTTTTTCGAAATAAAGAAACAAATTTATCAACCAAACTTAATAATTTTATAATTTCAAATTAAGCATAAAAAAATACTGTTTTATTTTCTGATATTTTGAAAAATTTGTAACATTATTGGAATTCATATTAACAATGTGAAATTTTTTTAGTCTATGTCAATGAACAGAAATTGTTGAAATTTTTCAATGAGAATTAGGGTAGACTAATTTGTTTAAATTGTGTCTGGTGAGTACATGATTTCATTTTATTTCACTTCTCATATCTTACATTTTATTGAGAGTATGAAGCAAACATGATTTTTAATTCCATCAAAACCTAATAAATTATAGTTTAATAAAATGTAGAATTGTCTAACAACCGTATTTGCTCTATTAGTAGCACATGCATTTACAACAAAGGTGTGTCCATGGTTAATAAAATTAATATTTTTATAATTGAGTATACAACAACAACAATTAAAGATGTGCTTCCAATACAGGAAATACGGTAAATTAAATTCTTGTATATAACAAGTAACCTGTAGAATGCTGTGTGGGTAATATTTTTATATTGATTTTTGTTGCATTTGCAGCAAATAGTTACCAAACAATGAGAAGTATAATTGTGTACAAAATAGATAACATACTTTTCGTAAATTACTTCAAAAGAATTGTAAACAGGGCGAGAGAATATTTTTAATAAACATGCATTAATGGGATGATCATTACCGGTGTTATTCCGGCAACGAATAGCAAGCTACTGCCATGTTAGTAATAATATAGAATGGGTCAACAATGCAGAAAAAATTGCATGGTTTTTGAAGAAATAAAATATGGAACTCAGACAAAATGAATAATTTCCGCACACCACATCATACAATTTTCAATACACAATGTTTTTTACACTTGATTTGAAGTGATCATGATTCTGAACAAATTTCAGCGTTGTCACAAAAAAAAAAGCAGCAATGAACATTTCACTGATTCAACAGCGACTTTCATGAGATTTTATCCATGTGCACACTTTCTGATTATCAAATGGGTTAGCATTAAGCGTTTAACATGTGGTAAGGTAAGACCACAAGACTTTATGCTAGCGTCATGTCAATACATTTTTAGTGTACATTTTTAGTATAGACGAATTTTCTGCAGTTGCCAGTTCACCGAGTTACATGCCCTTTCTTCAGAAAACCTTGCAATCAGACATTATAATTTAGCCAAGAGTATAAGGTAGGACCCGTGGGAATGCTTTACATATGGAGGCATTGCTCACCATTTATTACGGTTACATTAGAATCATCGATTAGTGGAATCGTAGTTGCTATGGAGACATTCACTGGCGTTCTGAATCTTGATGTTGTTGTTGAGGGTAAAGATAATGGAAGTGCAGATGATGGCAGTGGTTGTTGTTGAGGAGGAGGTGATGATGATGGTACGAGAGGAGATATGTAAGGTGGGGGAGGTGATTTTGACTCTCGTAACCGTCGTTCTGAGAGAGAGAGAAAAAAAAACAATAGAAAGCAGAGATATTTATTAGTATAATGGGTTAGTATCACGCAATAATGGTTATACATGCAGACTGACAGATTGCTAATTTGGGATTTCATAGTAACTAAACTGAGAATAATCATAAATTTGACAATATGAGATTGACTTTCATTACTAATGTGAGCATGTGATTGGTTGTAATACATCACATGACTTTTTCCTTTGCTCATGTGATTGGCTGTTATCAGTCACATGACTGTCATCAGCAGTGTGACTGGCTGTAATCAGTCACATGACTTTGTCATCAGCATCGTGACTGGCTATAATCAGTCTCATAAAATATTTACATCACACAGGTTAAAATAATTGACACTTTTCAGGACACAACAGTCTGCATGTATTAAGTGCCTATGCAATGACATGTTGATTTTTCCAGATTTAAATTCTAGAAAATACCATACAAGGAAATTACTAATTATTAGCATATGATTTGAATATGCTAATGATATGCATATGAATCACAAGGTATTATAAATAAAATAAATATACAAGTTTTTCTATAATAATTTAATAGTTGATTATAGCTTGCGTGCCAGAATATACTACAATAAATGAATCAAACTGTGGACAGTCAATTTGTGTTTCTGGGAGGGCAGCGGCGATGTCCTTAATTGCAGTTGGTGGCATACAAATGAAGTAATACTTCTTTCAAATGGCAAATATTCTAAAACTGTGAACAGGCAATCCTTTTCATATCTCTATACACCAAAAAAACATGGTAATAATATTTGGCATAATTTTCTTGCAGTTTAATTTCATGTTTTGGTCACAAATCAGAAAACAATATATCTGATTACAAATTTGTGAATATGATGAGAATGACAAATTAAAGGAAAAATGAGTGAAAAATAATTTAGTACTATTAAATTGATGAAAAATAGACTAATATGTCAGATAGATTAACATGTATGAGATGTCTGTTCAACCAAAAACCTTCCTTATTCATTTATTCATACTGATGTCATTGTTATAGTTTAAAATGTTATTGTCATGGCAACAACACTTTAACACAATGGCAGCGACAGGGCTGAGACCTGATGCATTTATTGGCAACGTTGTAGCCATCATAGCACGACACAACAAATATCCATGTTAATTACCGCCGCCACCATACATGTAGCTGTAATAAAATTATCTCATTAATCTGTATAGATGGTGTTACAATCCTGTAAAACGATTATATTTAAGTCATGTGTCAATTTGGCATAATGGTGCCGGAGAAATGTGACAGTAAACCTGAAAGAGTAAAGAAACACAAACAGACAGACACAAAACACGAACAAAAGACACTACAATGAAGCCACAGAATAAAAATTTAACCAAAAACAAACAAAAAAGAGTGAAATAATAATAACCATTCAAAATAAAATAAAAAACACTGATCAAATCATAAATTGAAATTAAAAACCATGCAAGAAAAAGAATGACATGCAGCAAAGCATGCTGGGAAATTAAGGTGAAAGTAAACTGTTCAAAGCAATTTGTTACTGGTTTGATGCATCTAAAAGCCGGGCAAGCTATTTCAGCATTTCCAAATTCAAACGATCATGATGAGTATGTTATGCCCCTCACCAGTCAAAACAAACACGTTGGTATCAGCAATCTTAGCCATATCTTCTACCGGTCTCCAACCATCCTTTGAGGCTATGTTCAATTTCACAGGTGGGGATTTCATCTCAACTTTGGGTGGAGATGGTCTTGGGGGTATAGTCGGGGAGGGTATAGATTTCCGATGTGGGGGCTGTGCATTGTAAGGTGATTGTACATCAACACGCAGTGGTTGTTTAGAAGTTTGCCATGTTTGAGGTTGTGGAAGGCGCTGTTGCTGTTGTTGTTGTGATGGAGGGGATATTGGGTGATGGGGTTCTTGGTGGGTTGGTGGAGGCGGTGGTGGGAGTGGTCTTTGTTGTGAAGAATCTGGCTGCCACTGCTGAGGAGGGGGAGGTGGAGGGGGAATTTCCTGCTGGGGCTGGGTTGACTGCCATGACTGAGGCAGAGGGGGTCTCTCTTGCTGATAGGAACTGGCCTGATACTGCTGTGGCGGTGGTGGCCCCTGTTGCTGAGGTGGTCCAACCTGATATTGTTGTGGGGGTGGTGGTCTCTGTTGCTGTTGAGGGAAAGCCTGATACTGTTGTGGGGGTGGTGGCCCCTGTTGCTGAGAAGAAACAGCCTGATATTGTTGTGGGGGTGGTGGTCTCTGCTGTTGAGGGAAAGCCTGATACTGTTGTGGGGGTGGTGGTCTCTGTTGTTGCTGAGGAGAAGCCTGATACTGTTGTGGGGGTGGTGGTCTCTGTTGTTGCTGAGGAGAAGCCTGATACTGTTGTGGGGGTGGTGGTCTCTCTTGCTGTTGAGGAGAAGCCTGATAGTGTTGTGGGGGTGGTGGGGGTGGTGGTCTCTGTTGTTGCTGAGGAGAAGTCTGATACTGTTGTGGGGGTGGTGGTCTCTCTTGCTGTTGAGGAGAAGCCTGATACGATTGCAGGGGTGGTGGTCTCTGTTGCTGTGAGGAACTATCTTGATATTGTTGTGGGGGCCCCTGTTGTTGAGAGGGATTGGCTTGATACTGTTTTGGGGGTGTTGGTTGCTGAGGGGGGTTCAGTTGCCATTTTTCAACTGGTTGCCTTTCTTGCTGAGATGTAACGACCTGTTGAGGATTTGCCTTATGATATATCTGTTGCTGTAGTCTTTGTTGGGTAGGACTGGCATGGTACTGCCCCTGTGGTAGCAATGGTGGTGATGGCTGTGGTGGGGGTGGTGGAGGGGAAAGCTGTTTTTCTTGCGGAGGAGGAGGAGACCTTACTTGTTCAGGGGGGCATACTGATGGTTGGTTGTAATGTTGTTGGGATGTGACCGGTTTGTATGGAGGGCTAGTCAGAGGTGCCTGATTTTGTGTATTGGTGGCAACATTGGGGTTATCCGAAGCCTGTTGACTGGACAGTGTTGGAGCATATAGAAGTCCACCTCCGTAATGAGATGGTGGTGGTGGTGGTCTTGGAGGTGACTCCTCTACTCCTGAAGATATTACATGGAAAAACGAATGAACAGTTATTTTGGATAATTATAATATTTAAAATATGTATATAACATAACATCAACGAAATGACCAGACCAAATGGGGTGAGAAATGAAAATGTAATATTTGAAATTCCCTCTCAAAAAGTCCTAATCGTGGGATTGATCTTTAAGCCTATCGTCAAAAATATGTACAAAGTTTAGGTAATGCTATAGACTGAGATACTGTGATCTCATTATCGGGTTTAGACAATAGTTTAAAATTCAGAACCTTGATACCCATTATAATTCAAAGATTAAATAAAGAAATAATCCAAGAAATAATTAATAGGAAATACATATTGGTCCAGTAAATGTCAAATCCCATTTTTAGCTATAAAATAAAATATGAATTTAAAATGAAACAAATACATCAAGATCTCTAGCCCCTAAAACCTATGAAGTGCTTATAGTTTGAAGGCGAATTAATTTGAATCCAACTTACAATAGGAATATGAAAATACAAGTAGGTGAGTTTAAATCTAACTTAAATCTGAAAGTAGTTTTAGGTTGTTAATTTCTAGGACATTTTTAAGAGGGAAGGGTACACACAGTGATTTGTATCATTTATGAAATAATGAAAGTTACTACGAAGAATTGTAATAGTTTTATGGTGAACTTAGAACTTTAATAAAGATTAATAAATTAAGGGGGCAAGGGGGTAATACCTCTTTTACCAAAACACTGAAAAAAGACAAATAAACAAACAATGAACGAGTAATGACAGGTAGAACTTTTTGGTAAAACGACACATTTTTTTAAAACTCACTGATCTCTGATAAAAGTAGTGCACTCAGAGTATTGATCACAAGACACTGTGCAAACTGAACTCTCGTACACAAGATACGTTAAAACAACATGTGACTGTAGACAACACACGAGGCATTATGCTACTTTCCACACATGACCTCTGACCTTTCAAAATGATTACAAAATTTCCTGATTCAAACTTGTTCATATTTTTGGTTAATTTTATTATAATTATAAACGAGAATTCTTCATATAGGAAACCTGCAGCTCATGACACCATTCGGTCTCTATGAGTACAAATGTATATCATACGTGTCTTACCTTACCATAGGACTACATGTACATGCTCATTCATTGATCAACGCAAACATATACACACATACATAAGAATTAACATGTGTTGGTTAATCTGAAGGCCTACCTCTATTATGCTGCAATATCGTGACAGTCGGGCTCTGTGTACTCGGTAACCCGCTGGGAGTAGGGCCATTAGTATAGTTACGATGACTAAAAGCCCTATTTGGCAAACTATTTGATTCTGACAGATTTTTGTACTCATGTGTGGTTTCATCTTTAGGCGGTGGGGGAGGCGGCTTCCAGGCAAAACTTTCAGCTGGTGGAGGAGGCGCCGGAAGATCCTGCAAGAAAAGATATCATTTTCGCTGAGTACACCTGGTCAATGAACCATACATATGATCTTTTATGAAAGGAGTTGAGATGATTGGCTACTGGTCATGAATACCTGGGAAATAACTGTTTCTGCACAACAAAATATAAAAACTGTTACTAGGATTCTGTGAATAATGACAAAGTTGATTTTGCAGTTCAAAGTGTTATAAGCGAGGTCAAAGTTCTTTTTGAATTGAAGAAGCGATGACTATATTGTAATACAAGCATTCATGATGATATAACGTGAATATTGCATTCTAAATTCAGTTTGTCAGTAGTCTTGGTATACACACATATAATCTTACCTCGTTATCACAATCCTTTGGGAGCCAGATAGAAAAAGAAATTAAATGCATTTAAAATTGTTTGTATCAGTATATAGCACCTTCCAGCCATCAACACAGTTTTGTAACATTCCATTGATAATTTTAGAAAAACACAATTTGTTTTTTTTCATCTGTCTTGTTATTCTCTATAGTATATGTTACATACTAAACGCCTAGAGGACTTGGACAGTACTTTGTTTGGAACTGAACCAAATCTATGCTAACAAATGACCACATTCAATTTCTCTTAGTAGTAGTATGCCCTCTATACATAAAGGTGGCATGATGCACCACTAACACAGTAATTTCCTGTTACGTCATGTTACTGTAAAACCATTTATTTTCACTGGCATTTAGATTTATTATTTTGATGTTTTGAGCAATTTTAAGTTCATGAAATCGACAGGAAATAATAAGCTCTATAGTTATGTTACTGTAAAACCATTTATTTTCACTGGCATTTAATTTTATTATTTTGGGGTTTTGAGCAATTTTAAGTTCACGAAATCGGAAGGGAAATAACAAGCTCTATAGTTATGTTACTGTAAAGCCATTTATTTTCACTGGCATTTAGATTTATTATTTTGATGTTTTGAGCAATTTTAAGTTCACAAAATCGACAGGAAATAATAAGCTCTATAGTTATGTTACTGTAAAGCCATTTATTTTCACTGGCATTTAGATTTAGTATTTTGATGTTTTGAGCAATTTTAAGTTCACGAAATCGGAAGGGAAATAACAAGCTCTATAGTTATGTTACTGTAAAACCATTTATTTTCACTGGCATTTAATTTCATTATTTTGGGGTTTTGAGCAATTCATGCTTAATAATTAGCTATAGATATTTGACGATGATCATTTTGTGAAAGTAGTTATTATAGTATCCCCCTGGAAGCCCTGCATTTTGACATTGAACTTTAATTAAAAAAAATACGAGTTCAAAATCAAATCGTTCAATTTTTGCTGCAGATGTTTGGGTCATCACCATTTTATATCACTATTTAAAGGAATACATTAAAAGTTACAGCTATTGTGGTTGTAACTGAATCTGTGTCAGAATCTTTGCATGATAACATGGACATCAATGTGCCCCTTACCTGCATTCTCTTCTCTGTCTTACTCTTGTCGTTAAGTTCAACTTTGACTGGTTTAAATTCCTTTTTGTCCACCTGATCACCACTCATTCCAGGTTTCCAGACAGGAGCAACGTTAAAATTAGCGTCCCGCTGTGGTGAATTATATCCACTTGGTATCCGAGGTGGCGGTGCCCCTGGTGACCAGACACCTATAGAAACAATAAGATAGTGTTATCTCTAAATGGAATCTAAAGATATGTGCAAAACGTAAAGTTGGGACTTTTAATATTTGACTAAATGTTTTTGAACATTTCATTGTTTATATGTAATTAATATATAAAAAAAATCAACAGATTGAAACGGATAATATGAATAGCTGAACAGAAAGCTATGAAATCAAGCACTGAAACCAATCCCATAAGCAGTCAATGGGTGGAAATGGGTCATGTGCAGGGCTGAACAGAAAGCTATGAAATGAAGCACTAAAACCAATCCCATAAGCAGTCAATGGATGGAAATGGGCCATGTGCAGAGCTGAACAGAAAGCTATGAAATGAAGCACTAAAACCAATCCCATAAGCAGTCAATGGGTGGAAATGGGCCATGTGCAGAGCTGAACAGAAAGCTATGAAATGAAGCACTAAAACCAATCCCATAAGCAGTCAATGGGTGGAAATGGGCCATGTGCAGAGCTGAACAGAAAGCTATGAAATGAAGCACTAAAACCAATTCCATAAGAAGTCAATGGGTGGAAATGGGTCATGTGCAGAGCTGAACAGAAAGCTATGAAATGAAGCACTAAAATCAATTCCATAA